GTGTCTGCCACCGTCGCAACACACGCCAATAAACCCCTTTGCAGCTCATTTTTGATGGTCAATTCTCGTAAAATCCGGAAGGTATAGCAACTGCCTTTATTAAATTCTTCAAATCTGTTTTTCTTTCTACCGATAACGGCATCACTTCTTGAATTTCAGCGTGCAACAAACTACGCGCTCATCCTAATCTTGAATTGAGCTCCTCTGAAGTGCATAATCTAAAAATAATTTTGAAGTTACGATAAATTTTGGACCAGACAGTATGCTAAATGTATTTGTAAAGTAGTGCTCAGTATGGCGTGCTATTTCGCTGTAATATTGAAAATGTCAATCTCTGCCAGTTCTCCAGCTGCGGATGTTAGAAAACGCTGTTTCCTTAAGTCTTGAAACAAGATAATAGCTTATTATTGACCAATATGTTTGCTCTCTATACCAGCTTCACACTTTTTGAGCATATAATCAACAAATACTATGCAGAGTACCTAAACGCAGACAACCTAATTTCCCGATGGATACAGAGTTGTTCAAATTTACGCACGACATTGTTGCTTTTCTTAACGACCAACGACAGATTTATGTCATATTTATTCACTATTCTAGGAATTTTCACATAGTTTGCCATACCAAACTTGAGGCCAGCTCTTCTACATGCACTTACTGCAGCTGCGAAGAAACCATCGCCCACCTTCTATGTGAGTGTACACACTTTAACGCGCGAAGACAAGAACTTACTGAAGCTCTGGATGGACTATAGGTGATCGGTCTTTGTCAGAACAAAGGATTTTGGGTCTTTGGTCCGAGTTCATCTGCAGCCCAGAAGGCTTTGAAAGCTTTGTTATGCTTTTTGTGGATAACTGGCTTCAGAGGCAGACTTGAGTGTGTTATTCTATTTCGTTTTGCTTTTCCTCTTTCGCTATTTTTTCTATTTTCTCTCTCTCTTTGCAACATTTCTCTTCTATCATTTTTTATTCCTCCTCACCCCTTTCCCCAGCACAGGGTAGCCAGCCGGTCTAAGAACTGGCTAACTTTCCTGTCCTTCCGCTTAATCTTTCCTCTTCTTCCTAGCTTCTTCCCAAACTTGGCGACAACAAGCTGGTCCATTGAATAGCAAATTACTTGCGATCGCGCTAAGATACGTTTCGTTTCAGTTTATTTACTTTCATACAGAACATACATGCTTACATAAGTATACAGAAGGAGGTCCCAGAGCGTTTGGCTGAAGGTGGACCTTCTGTCAGAAAATGTGGGAATCATGTACAAGTAAAATGCAATTCTGTCAACAACGTGGAATTGAGTTAATGAAATACAGAAAAAAGGTAAACGAAATACAGAATAAAGATACTGAAATTTTATCAATCATTGGAACAACAAAAACACTGAGTGTGTAGGACATTTAAAAATAGAAAAAAAACCCAAAAATATTGGCCAAATGAACAAAGAAATGAAACAAAGCAAGAAAAAGTTGACTAGCTTGGGTACTATTAAGAGAACATGAATATAAATAGGTGTAGATAATAGTACACATCGTAAATGTGAATGACGTGTTTTTAAAAAGAGCTAATGATGAAGACTGCTTAACGTTAAGAGGAAGACTGTTCAAGGTCGATAACGTCGTGAAACAATGAGAGTATTTTTCATAACTAGTATGGACTAATGACAATAATACATTGTTGCTAGCTGCGAATAGTGTTCGGTTGGTATTGACTGGAACAGCTTCTGGAAATATGTTCACTGCAGCAGGGTTCTACATTATTTTGAATAACACTATGCGTATATTGTATTCAACAGTGCTGTCCAGTGAAATGATTCTGTAATTATGTAGCATGTCGGACACAGTAGCTGAATGAGCTGAACGTTAGTATACGGCTGGCCTGATTTTGTAAATGTAGCGGCGCAACATTTGTTGGATATGTGGTACCCCACGACTGTGATGCAGTAGTTCAGCCGACTATGAATGAAAAACTACTGCAAAGCTAGTTTGTTAGATTTGCGGAAATAGTACCTGACTTTTATTAAAGTTCTAATACCAGGAGCAATTTCGCGCTTCAGATGGACATGATGTACCTTTTCAATGGTTACCAGGCCACTGCGGAATCATCAATAACGAGCATGCTGACGATGCGGCAAAAAACACTCACAAAAATAGCATGATGGATCTCATTCCACTCTCAAGAAGCGACGCAGCAGCAAGAATTAATACGCTGGCGCACAACTTCGTCAGGTCTCTGTGGAACACGCCCGAATTTATACACACCCGTATTAACCATCTGGATCGACATCTACAGTTTTTCATTTCATCTGAATTATGCAGATCTGAGACAATCGTTCTCTGCCACATGTGGCTTTGGGTGTCTTACGCGAACGCCTTTGCTTTCCGCATAGGATGGGCAGATAATGCGTGTGACCACTGCGGCACTGACGAAACCATCGAACATTTTTTTGTCAGTTCCCTCAGTACAACTATCAGAGGCAGTCCCTGTCAGGAGTGTTTGCACGCCTCTAAGAACAGCTGCTTTCCGAAAAATTATTTTGGAATGTTTGAAAGATTGAGCTTCACGCCGAAAAGCGACGAAAGCCCTACTAAAGTTTCTGCGATTGACACACCTCGTCGAACGTTTTTGACATTCGAGCGTGTGTGTGTGTTTTCGCTTTCCTCCCGGTCTCTTCCTCTGTTTCCTTTTCCTTATTTTCTGTCTCCCATTCCACCTTCTCCAGTGCAGGGTAGAAAATCAGACACTTGCTTTCTGGATAAACTCCGTGCCTTTCATCATACCATATATCTCTCCTAAATCACACCAAGAAATGAACATTAATCAACTGCACTAATGGCATGAGAATCAAGAATGACAGTAAGAAGGATCCACGAAAAGCAATTTGACGTACATACACGTCAGGAAGAGGCCACAAGGCTCATTAACCTCTTTTACTTATTATTGATAGAAATGGCGTAGCCGAGATTATCAGTAACAACCAAATTCAACATAAAATATATGCAGACAATGGCGTTATCTGTGAAACCATCTCTAATACTCAAGATCAAGATGCACTGATTACTTTTTTTGTTTCGTTGTTTTGGAACATGAGTGAAATTAGGCAATTGTTTAGTTACTGAAAATTACTGTAGTCACGACCTTTTCAAATAAGAAATAGCCTCTTCGTTTTACATATACTAATAATGGTGTAAGTACATTGCGTGTCACGGAGCTTAAATTCGTTTGTAAAACTCTCCAATCAAATTTGATGTGGCAAAGTATTTCGCAACAGTACAACATCTTCGAAAACATTGGTATTTCCGACACACCTTGAGCAACTAAAGAAAAGAATGTGGACTCACAGCGCATAATGTTTGGCCAGACTCGAATAAGCGTTGGTTGTTTCACGACCTGACCACAAACATGGTATAGCTATCGTAGAATATTTTACTGGCGCAACAGATTAGAGACGGACAGTGCTGTGTCCCTTCTGTGTCCGTCTCTAACCCGTTGGGCTGTAAAATATTCTGCGATGAATGTTCATTAACTTGCCCAACTCCCGAATCCGCTTCAGCATGATGCAGCTATGTAAGAGACTGTTAAAAAAGGCAGTAAGGTTTATATATTGTCGCTATGACGAGCATTTCTAGTATACACTTCGAAAGTACAAGTTTTATCACTGCAGCCTCTCTCAAATGTCGGTGCACTTGCAATCCAGTCATCCTCCTGCGTAAATAAGTTGGTTTGCACTGGTTCCAGTGACCTAGCACCCATATCCTTTGTTGCATTTTCTGCACACCGTACCCGGTGATCCAATTCTACTGATATAGTGCCCGTTAGATCAATTAGGAATCGTTTGTTGTTTTATTATCTGCGGAACGTGGATTTTTAGACTCGCCTTGATGGGTACCTGCGCAGACTCGGTTTAGAGCAATTGAGAAAAAAATACTTGCGTGAACATGCATTTTCTTAACTTGTATTTTGGAAGGCGCTGAACATTTTTGTTTACACGTGCTATTTATCGATAGCCGAAAGACCCGTATTTGTAAATAAATAGCATTAGGACATGCTGATGTCACTTCAACCTGTTGGCCCTTTCGAGGAAACAGATTTCTTTTTCAACATTCAAGGAACAATTAGCTATCCCCACCAACTCTTGAATCGTAGTCCTTCCTTGCATCCTAATTCTTCCTTGAAGCCTGCAAAGAAAGGAAGAATGCCAGAGCGATGAAAAAAAAAGTAACGCTAGAAATATGGCGTTGCAACACAGAATAGAAAGTACAGAAAGTTTGCCGATTCTGTAAATAAAACGCGGCGTTACAGTAAGCTTCGATAAACAGATTTTTTGGGAATACGCTTCTAAGCCACATCACTGCATCTTGCAAAGTAAGTGGCAGTTCCACTGAGTGCCTTAGCGTAGAGGGCTGAACATTTACAAGCGTACCCGATAGTTCTAGCATGCCCTTTTTTCATACATTTAAGCCAGACACCAGCATCAGCTAAGTATGCTTCCGCAGTCTTATCTTATGCATTTTGAGCAGAAGAAATAATCGAGCAATTCAAGCAGTTGCAGAATATGCTCATTTGAAAGAGGTTGCCGCGGAAAGACTAATAATGATGGAAAGATATTGCTTCACTACCTACTGTATACTTCACCGAAAGCAGGCTCCCGAACGAACAAACCACGCCTGCACGACGTTATCCCCAATAATATCTACGATTTTACGTGCCAAAACCAAGAACCGATTGCGAAGCGCGCCGTCGTGGAGGGCTCCGGAAGTTTTCACAATCTGATGTTTTTTCACGTGCAGTAAGATCGCACAGCACAAGGCTCCTAGTACCTCGGCTCCAGCGAAATGTGGATGTCGCGGCTGGCATTGAAACTGTTGCCTTCGGGAGAGGAGCCGAGCACCGTAATAAATAAAGCAACAACGCCGCCTCGTATCTAATTGCATGGTGGAGCAGCCAGCCAACCAACCAACCAACAAACAAGCTTCATCTGCGCGTACCGACCAGGAGATGTATAAGCTGGACACGAGGAAAAGATGTTAATTCTCGTGAGTCATGGTCTACATCAGTCCGGCTGCGGTGAGGACGCGAGGGAGGTTGGTGGTGCACTCTGGGAAGGCCTGCGCACACCCGGCGAGGCCGCGCGATCGGCCGGTCTTCGCGGCAGCGACGAACACCGAGATGGCTTTGGTTCCCACGCCCATGTTGGTGTCGAAGAAGTGCTTTGTCGCGGTACCCACTTTACCGAGGCGTAAGGCGTCGGCAGTGCTCTCGCAAACCATGCGGGAGACACATCCTCGGTCATCGATTTCCTTCAGGAAGGCAAACAGCAAGTCTATCTGGAGCTTCTGCTCCTCATTCACGCTGCAAGTGTAGAAATGAAAGTAAATATCGCTTCCCGTTGCTTGAAAGTGACACAGATGCAGGCTGCAAAATTGAAACGGTTAAAAATACTGCTGGGGTTTTACGTTGCAAAATAACGATTGTGGCACTCTGCAGTGGGGATACAATGATTAAGTATGGCCTCTTTGATTTAACGATGTGAGCAGATATTGGACCTCGTTTCCAGGTCCAAAAACCACGCGCCGGAGCTCTGAAGATACCGCGTCATGCGGAAAGTAGAGCGTGTTGTTTAATGAAAGCTAATAAGCCAATTTCTATAGCTCTAAACACCTTGTTATTTTTCAGCAGCTATGGGTTTAGATATTGCACAGTGATCCCATAATACTTCACTTACCCGTAGTTTCAGAAATCGTGGTACGGGATGCGAGAAAGGTAATTACCAGGTGTACCATGATCTTATACGCACCACGCATTGCGCGTGCTCTCCGCAGTCGTAAACCGCAGGTCGTATTTGTGGTACCAATTTTAGCACACTCGTATATCTGTATATTTTATATATGCCAGGCGATCGAACGCCGTGTACTACCGAATATGAAGCGCTCGAACGGACTGTCATGTGGCGCGCAGTGCCAGCTTACCATTAGGCGCTCCCACACCAGGACGCAACCCACATCGTGAACTCGAGAATGAAAAGCAAAAGGCCTAATGCCTTGTGTGCATGCGGGCAGGCTTGCCGTATTACGTTCGCGTTCCCCATCAGCATCACGGATTTTCGAGCATGAGCGATGAAGTAATGCAAGCGTTCGACAGTTTCAATTTATCTGGGAAATGGACTGTTTTTGCCATTACCGGAGGCACAAACGCGATTACTGCGCAGCACTCTGCAAAACAAATGCCTCATTGCAAAAACAACGCAATATTGTGCTGCTGGCGTAAAATATGTGCAAGCATTGGCTTGGTTATGGACATAAGGCCTTAAGCTGTATATTTTTGAGTAAATAAAGCTCTTCCAAAACGCACACCTTACTAGTGTTGTCAGAAGAAACCGTGAAAAATGTGGCTAGTCAGGCGAAGGACCTTCCACAGGCGTCTTTTCTTATACAGATATGATAGATATTCCACAAATGTCTTCACAGGTATAGCTGATTCTACAGCAAGGCTCATCTCTTACTTGAGTACGTTTTGCAGCGCCGATATAGGAACCTTAATTTCTGTCTTCGCGGTGGTTGTTGTCGTCGTCATGTCATGGCCAGGAAGACCACGACGTACTTCGAGCTCTTCGAATGGTGATTCCGTGAAGTCAGTGCCGGCCCTCAGGTTGAACGTACCGGTGAATCCTTGGCTCAGCATGGACAACAAGGAACCGGCCATAGAAATCTTGTAGCCCAGAATGCCGCTCGCCACGGATGTGATGCCACCGAATGGCAGAAACAGGCTGCCCACACACACGCTCTGCGCAACAAGAAGTGCTGCGAGAAACAAGAAGGAGGCGATGGAAAGTCCCATAACTGCAAGATTAAAAGAACAGGCTGCAGTACCTGGACGCTTGTGCGCGGCGCTCCCTTATATATTGCCACAACTCCTTTCACAAATTTTGTTATTGGCACGTGTAGGTGCGGCCTTGCTCATATACTGTAGAATGACTAAGAAATATGTAGGTAATCGTAGAAGCTTTTTAAGCAATAACGCGAACAACGCGAACAACGCGAACATTACAGTTACATTCGGAACTTACGGGATCACTAGTGATAACGCTGGGACATTCGACGCCATATGTATGAATGCCAGCGCGCATCAGCCCATCTAAGTTCTTCGACCAATGACGCTTTTTTCGATGATATCAGCGTAGAGCTTGCTGTGATTGCAGTTTCACTTTCCCGGCCACAAGTAAGGGCAAATAAGGAGTTTTATCTTTGACACGCCGACTGCTACCTTCGTTAACCTCATGACCACATGGAAATTTTTTCTGAATAGGGACATGGCGACTGCATTCAGCAGTGATTGCGTTCACGCTGTCATTGTCTAGGCATCACTGATGCATTTCAAGTTACGTAATCACCACCTGACCTATGATTCAAAGTCAGGAGGACGGGAAGAAAGAAAGGGCCTTTTTTTCTTTTTGTGACAGCTGCTTTAACAAGAGACAACAGGATATCGTCCAAGTCACTTGAGAGCTTGAGAGGGTCAACATGCTAGTGCTTACCTTCTCTGCTGTGAGTGCCAGAGGAATAGTTAATAAGGCGTGTGTTCGATTGATTCATTTGTGGGGTTTAACGTCCCAAAACCACCATATGATCATGAGGGACGCCGTAGTGAAGGGCTCTGGAGGGCTCCTTAGAACAGTGGCTACTTTTACGCCGTGCAATTTTTTTCCAATTGTGTTAGACTTAAACTAGCTTTAGGACCTCATACTGTCGAAATGGTAAAATATACGCTGCGCATTAGTACAGAGGCACGCTATATTCAGCTTCGCCAACTGTAAACATTCGGCGCAGGACTACCTAGGATTTTTTGTTTTTGAGAGGAGGGGAGTGCAGCAGAACGACTAAATTTGGCAATTGGTGGTCGCTGTGAATACGTGTATATATTTTAGTATGCCCAGAAAAGTTAAATTACGAGAACATTTCGTGGTGTAGGGGGTTTAGATTCCCTTCCTCGCCCCTCTACTTATGGCCTCCTAGTTGTGCGTGCGTTTCACACTGTATTATTTTTTTCATCCCACAGCTTTCTGAGCGCAGCTAACTTCCAATGAATTGACTCAGTTATTCCTAATATTGTAGACGACTGCTCAACAAAGAGTTGAGAGAAGAAATCAGAATAAGACACGCCCTTTTTAAATAATTTTCGATCTCTCACAAGGTCTTTTATGGAGCCCAAATTCACTAGATTGGCGTGTCATACTTCAAGGGTTAAGACACCATGCGCTAGACATGAATGATGGGCAGGTACGAAAAAATCTGCATCAAAAAAGCACCCCAAAGACCCAAAGATGCCGGAGCGCATAGGAGTTCCTGCGCGCAGCGCGCGGTTCTTTTAGATGGATGGATCGATGGATAGATGGATGGATGGATATGGCTGTACCCTTTCGATCGGGCGGTGGCTAGCGCCACCAAGCTGTAATACCTAATGAACCAAAAACTATATTTATTTTTTTCCTTAAAAATTGAGTTTGAGGATTCGTACTTTGCAGTGAAGAGTTTAATTTTCACTCGTGTCTTGACTTTAGCCACCAATCAGATAACCTTCTTCTAGTTAAGTCTACCCGCCTAAAGTTTATTTTGCCCTCCCGGTCCCTAAACCCCAATGCTTCGAAAAACTCTGCGCCATAATCCTGAACTATAGGATGAAGACCTTTACAGAACATTATCAAGTGTTCTGCAGTTTCTTCTTCCTCTCCACACGCACTGCATACTGTGTCTACCCCTTCGTATTTGGCCCGATATGTCTTGGTTCGCAGTACTCCCGTCCTGGCATCAAACAGTAGAGAACTACCCCGAGTATTATCATAGATCCTTTCCTTGGCAATTTCCTGCTTAAACGTTCGATAGATCTCTAGTGCGGACTTCTTAATCATGCCCATTCTCCACATGTCAGTTTCCGTTTCCTTCACTTTCTTCTTAACCGATAGTTCTTTTTGGTTTGGCCACCTGCTGTTTTCTAAGTATTTACCAGTCAACTTCCTGGTTCGCTTCCTCCATTTTGTATCCACATTCTTCATGTACAAGTAGCTGAAAACCTTCCTAGCCTAACGCTCTTCCCCCATTTCTCTCAATCGCTTCTCAAATTTTATCTTGCTGCTAGCTTCCCTTCCCTCAAATGATGTCCATACCATATCACCTTGTACTCCCTGATTTGGTGTATTCCCGTGAGCTCCTAAAGCAAGCCTGCCTATTCCACGTTGCTTAATTTCTAATCTTGCTTGAACTTCTGATCTCATGCACAACACCGCATCGCCGAACGTCAGCCCAGGAACCATGACCCCTTTCCACATTCCTTTCACAACTTCATACCAATTGTAATTCCACAGTGCCCTATTTTTCATGACTGCTGCATTCCTGTTACCTTTATTCGTCACGTATATTTCGTGTTCCCTCAGATACTCTGTCCCAATGCTTATCCATATGCCCAGATATTTGTATTTATCTGTTATCTCTAGCATGACCTCCTGTATTCTAAGCTCACCACCTTCGTTGTCATTGAAAATCATGAGCTCTGATTTTTCCTTACTGAATATAAAATCTAACATATCTCCCTCATTACCGCAGATGTCCATCAATCTCTGCAAATCTTCCTTGTTGTTGGCCATTAGCACTATATCATCTGCATACATTAATGCTGGTAGTGCCTGATGAATAAGTCTTCCTTGTTTGACTAAAGAGAGGTTGAAGCCTAGTCCACTTCCCTCTAATTTTGCCTCTAATCCTTGTAGGTACATCATGAATAATAAGGGTGACAGGGGGCACCCCTGCCTAAGCCCCCGTTTTACCTCTGCAGGCTTGGATACCTGTTTTTCCCACTTTATAACTACCTTGTTACCTTTATAGATACCCTTTAAAAGATTAGTGACTACATGTTCCACGCCTAGTGTGTCCAGTATTCCCCACAATTTCTCTTGAACCACGCTATCGTATGCTCCCTTGATATCCAAAAATGCTAGCCACAGGGGCCTGTGTTCCTTTTCTGCTATTTCGATGCACTGCGTCAGTGAGAACAGATTGTCTTCCAACCTCCTATGTTTCCGAAACCCATTCTGCAGTTCCCCCAGCATCCCCTCATCCTCTATCCACGCCTGCAGTCTTTCCTTTATAATCTGCATCGCCAGCCTGTAGACCACTGATGTCACTGTTATAGGACGGTAGTTGTTTATGTCAGCTTTGTTCCCCTTTCCATTATAAATCATGCTCATCCTGCTAAGTTTCCATCCATCTGGAACTTCACCATCGATTATTATTTTGCTCACTGCCTTTCTCAAAGCCTGCTTAGACTTCGGACCTAATGTCTTTATCAGCCTAATTGGAATGCCATCTGGGCCTGTTGATGTACTACTAGGAACCGTTTTCTCAGCCCTTTCCCACTCTTGTTGTGAAAATGGAGCCATTGCATCACTTGATTCGTCCTTGTCTATTGTGGTGCATAAAGTACTTCTTTGTTGAAATTTTTCTGTGACCCTTGTTCTTATATATTCAATAGCTTCGTCCCCTTCTAGCCTAGCACCTTGGGCTGTAGTTATAAAACTCTGCTCTAGGCTCGTCTCATTTCTTAGGGAGTTTAGATGGTTCCAAAATTTCGCAGCTGCCTTTCTATCTTTTTTATGTACTTCTGCCAGCCACTGAGCTCCCTTCCTTCTAATCTTTTCATTGATCAGAAGGGATGCATTCCTTCTACAGCTTAGAAAGGTTGCCCATTTTCTTTCAACATCATCTGTCGGTTCACCCCGCTGCTTAGCATGTCTGTGTTCCCTAGAGGCTTCCTGACGTTTTGCTATTGCTCTCTTAACTTCCTCATCCCACCAACTTTTGGGTTTGTGTCTTCTTTTCCGGGGTGACTTGTCACGCGTCTTAACAAGCTCTAGCTCAAAGAGTCTAATTAGATTCGTGTATGTCCACACTGTCTTATTATCCTCCGTGATTACTTTCTCAATTTGTTTAGTGGCTATTTCAATTTGCCTTCCTGGATAAAAATTTTTCTTTAGTTGCTCATCTTGTCTCCTTCCCACTTTCACTGCTCTTCCAAAACTTAGCTTGATACGTTTGTGATCGCTACCCAGACTTCTGGAGCCACCTTCATCTATGTGCATTCCCCTGAGCTTATCATATATTCTATGTGACATCAGTGCATAATCTATGGTCGACTGAAGCCTTCCTACCTCCCATGTTATTTGCCCTTCACACTTCTCGGTACTGCTGCAAATGATCAAATCAAGCCTTTCACACATATCCATGATCATTTTGCCTGTCGAGTCGGTATACCCATCTATATCTTCTATGTGCGCATTCATGTCTCCTAGTATAATTATCTCGCACTCTATTCCTAACTCCTGAATGTCCTTTGATATACACTCTACCATTGTCTGGTTTTCCTCTCTGGCCTTTGCTCCCGTCCACAAGTACACGAAACCAAGGAGTGTCAATTGACCTGCCACTTTCCCTTTTAGCCATAAATGTTCCTTGCACTCCTGCTTGACCCTTTGCCAGTCTGTACTTTTATGAATGAATGCCCCAATACCACTCCCTTTCTGCTGCCTTCTGTTCTATTACAATATTCCCACGCGTAGTCCGGATTGTTCGGAGGTTGTTCCATGTCCCTGAGATGTGTTTCTACAAAACCGTATACCATCGGCCTCTCTTCCCTTAACTGTTCTTCTATCTCTTCCCACTTCAGCCTGTTCCTACCACCCTGCATGTTAATAAACCCTATGTCTGAATTGGCTCGGCGCTCGTGGCTACGTCTATTTATGCCCCGGACTCTACCTATCTTAGATATTGGTGCCACTTTGGAATCGTATC